CATACGTACACGATACCTGTAACACGTGTTGGTTTAGGTGAAGATACTCAGATGGATTGGGTCTCTGAGTCACGAGGCGTTGTTTTGACCTAAAGGAGTATCATCGTCCCCTGCCCAACGTCGTGCATTTTCTTCAGATTCTCGCGAAAGAGAAGTTTCGAAATAAAATTGTTTTATATCTTAGTCCAAAAATAACCTAGTGTGTGTGTTTGTGTCGATTGGACGTTAAACTCCATTCTATATCTATCTCATATTTTTATTTAGGCGCTAGAAGTGCAAACTTGAAGATAACCAAGCAGAGAAAAATTTCCACTCCAGATATTTCACCATAAACCCTGTAATCTTATATCGTGTAAGTTTTATATATGACGTTTACGCATGACTTGTTATGAATAGACTTCTCGGGATAAAAATGTCCTCCCATAACTTGAACAGATGAAATGAATAATATCCATGGTCCAGTGCACAACGCACCACATAAATAAAAGCTGAAGAAAAAGAGCACATTAACATCCTACTTTTCTGCACCAACCGGGCTAATAAAGACAAACACATGCAACACAGGGTAAATTTGCCTGACCAGTGGCGGTTCTGCCTATTCTTCGTCGAATTTGAACTGTTAAGGGTTCTTTTACGTGCACACCAACGTGTACAAGAGGTCGCGGGTTTTCGGTTGATCAGAACGATTAGATATGAAAAAATGAAATGAAATGGGGTTTAACGTCCTACTGTTCTGCTCCTAACCTGGGCTAATGAAGACGGGCATACGCCATACAGTGTGCTATGAGGGAAATTTTGCCCGGGCAGCGGCACTATCGCCTACTCTTATATCGAATTCCAACTGCCAAGGGATCTTTTACGTGCATTCCAATGTATACACGGGACCTCGGTTTTTCGTCTCATGCGAAAGACTAGACAGCTGTCCTTGTCAGGCCCTCCATCCTGCATCACTGACAAGGGGGAACCACGCCGGAAAATCTGGATGAACTTTCTCGGCGCCTTACCCACTTAGCCACGTGGTCCCCCCGATTAGATATTGTTCCTACACCACTGATAGGGGGAAACAGGCCGGATGACATAGGGGTACTTACTCGGCCAACACTGGGAACGAACTTGCCACCTCCTGGTTAGTAGGTCAGCGTATATCTTATTCTTCTATTAGTGTTTAAGGCCTGCTTCCACCGATACTGATATCACAGACAAGTTGTCTTATTGCATTGTCCTTAGCGTACGGAGTACCTGGATTAAACCCATGTGCTTTTCAAGACGTTTATAAATATTATGAATTCTGTAGAAATTGTAGCGATTATAGCGATTGGAAATTTTGTCTAATAAAAACATTGTAGCAATAAGAACCCTGTAGGGATTATAAAATTTACTCTACTTAGTCGAAATTTTAACCGTGTCGCAATTACAATATTACCCTACTACAATATAACCTTGTAGCGATTATAACCTTGTAGCGATTATAACAATTAGTCTATTACAAGAAGTAATTATTAATTTTACTTTATTAAAACAGTGTAGAAATTGGTATTGGTTATATTCAACTTGATGTATACTGTTCACCGGTGTTTAATCTATTGATAATAACAAGGAGTTTGTTTTATCACCAAGTTAAACATATAGATAATTTATTTTAAGAATTCCCTTGCACGTAGGTGGGGAAGGAAACCAGAGGACCCTGAGAAAACACACGAGGTTTGGCAGGCGACCCTACTCCTTGTTCAGTACAAGCTTATAACGCCACTTTACTCAACGACATACCTTTTAATGTAAAGCGGAGACTACTTAACGACCCCCCGACCTCCTCCGCTGAACTCGAAAGGTGAAGGGTTTAATGACAAAAAACAAAAAGGGTGCAGATCTATGACCGGACTGTGTTATCTTTGTAAATAATTCTTTTGCGTAGGGTTGGGAGGTTTGTTTTGGCGCCGGGGGAGGCGGTGTCTTTGCGTGCGCGGCTATATGTACACAGTAGGGTAAGGAATTGATCTCCTATTCAATTTAGTCTCGTATGTCCTGATCCGTTGATTAAAGCGGTTTAGCCGAGGTATAAGACGATTGAAATCTCCCCGTTAACTATTTAGAATACAGCTTCTTGTGAAGATATTTTATGAAAGGAATTCTTTAAATTGTTTTGTTGTCAGCACAATGAAGTGTCACTACAAGTATAAATCCTACCATGGTGTAATGAAAGTTCAGCTCTCACTGAACTATTTATCATACAATATTATTCATATTTTACGATCTAGTTCTCTTCCTGGTTTCAAGGTGACATTGTATCCTATTTACAAATACCAATAAACTATACTAGGTTGGTACGGTTTTTTGGGGTTTTTTTTTGTTTGTTGCAATTCTAAACAAGACTAGGCCATAGTGCCGCTGCCCGGGCAAAATATTCCTCATAGCCTACTGTATGGCGTTTGCCTATCTTCATTTGTCAAGCCTAATCGCACTTTGTATGGCGTAGGCCCTTCTCCATTAGCCCAGTAGCAGAACAGAAGGACGTTAAACCCCATTCCATTTTATTTTACAGTAGTATTGTATGTGAGTGCGTGCTTAACCCGATGTTGCCCTATTTAGTGTGTAATTGATATGCTTGTGACTGCTTTGACTAATATAATTAACAACAATTTTATATGTCTATGTAAGATCAAAATTAAAGCTTTAGTTCTTAATTTATAGTCATTAATTCTTATTTCTAGTCCTTTTTCGACATTTGTTGTCGCGTTAAAATTAATATTTGTACACTAAAATTAATATTTGTATACTAAAATTAATATTTGTATACTTAAATCAATATTTGTTTTTACAAATCAGACATTTGTCATATCAAATGTTTTAATTGGATCGTTGTTAGATGAATTTAGAGAATTGTTGTTTTTGACAATAGTTTTGCAAGATTTGTATTTAGATATTTGTTGTTTGAAATTTGTTGTTTGAGATTTAAATTTGGTTTTAAGTTGCTAATAAAATGTACTTGTATTTTTTTAAATTTTTTTCTTGGGGGGGGGGGGGGGTGATTTTTAAAAAGAAAATTGAAATACTATTAAATTAAACACAGGTATTTACAAATCTGATATGACAAATGTCTGATTTGTAAAACAAATATTGATTTGAAGATACAAATGTTAATTTTAGTGTGAAAATGTCGAAATACGACAACAAATGAAGAAATATGAATTAAGAATTATATGAATTTAGAACTCCGAATAAAAGAGCTGTTTGGGCTGCCATATATTTCGTTTCTCAGTAATATATTTTTCGTTCCAAATTTTGGTTTGGTTATGTAAAGTCCACATAGAAAATCTGACCAACTATTATCTTAATTATGACTGTCTAACAAAATGGACGTGGTGTTATGTAATTACCGAGTCTTACACTGCCCCCCCCCCCTCCCATATTTTACACACTAGACCATTATTCCGCTCAATTTCATTCAGGCTCATTATTTTATATTTGTTTTGTACTATTGTTTATGTATTAAACTTAAAGATTTGAATAATAAAATGGCGACAATAAATTTATGGCTCCGGGTTTTACCACATGGAGATTTAATTATTTCCTTGTTCATTGAATCATTCCCTGGTCTCGTTTTTAGATTCATCTACATGGTTTGTACATAATTCAAGGCATATTGTCAAGTCTATTTAGTAAAAGTGCAAATTGCATGAAATAAAAATAAAGCCAGAGTAAATTCTAGTTAGAATTAGAGTGACCATTAATAGAGGGTTTTTAACTGGATTGAGGTTGTTTGCTCTGAAGGTTTGCTTTCTGAAATCCAAGTTTAGAGTACGTTTATTTTTGAGCGAGAGCGTTTGTTCAACCCTTTGAAAGCTACAAAATATATTGATAGTTAAGACACCACTATTACAGTGATAAGTTGGACGATTTTCCCAACATCTACAATATTATAACAGTACAGTAAAGCCATACTCATAACTTTAATACTTACAAAATATGTGGGATTTTTACATAGATTTTGTCATTTGAATTTTCAATTTCAATGTCAAAACTTTTCTAGTTGTTGAATTCCCGTGTACACGCTCGCGTACAGGTAAAAAAGGGACCCCTGGCATTTATAATTCGGGGCTGCCCTGACAAACTTGTCTTTATAGCGCATTGCACGACATGTACCCTTCATTATAACAGTAGGACGTTTGTCATTTCTGGGTATGTTGCTACTGTATTTCACTATCGTTTGTTTTCATCTGTACTCACTTTATATATTAATAAATCTAACCCTAACCCTAACCCTTTCACTTTATATATTAATCAATCTTTCATTCAACTTTTATTTCTAATAAAAAGTGTCAAACTTTACCAAACATTTTTGGTATGTGGACAGATTGATATCTAGTCCCACATGTATTTTCATAGTAAAACGGTCGAATATCATTCAATCTAAGATGTCGGGGACCGCGCGTTGACAATAGAAAAGATTATAAACTGAACTTGAGTTTACCCCAACTTAATACAACCTTCACGTGAAATTATACTATAACTTTAGTGCAGTGAAGCGAAACTTTGTACTAAATCGGCGTCCCTATACAGTTTGCTACTATACGTATTCAAACGTTTTATTGAATTTTTAAAATGATACTAAAAAAAATCTCATTTACTTTTTGCAATAGGATAAAACTTATTTAAAAAAGAACTTAAAAGGAACAATACATACGTGATAAGATAATTTTAGTATATAATATTATATTAGTTTTATATAATGTTTATATTTGATTAAAAACAAGGAACTTACTAATTAAACACACTTATATGGATATACTACTTCTGAATTTATTAACATGCTACGTTTCGATACACATACAGATATCGTTATCAAGCAAATAATCATATTTAACACAAATGTGGTGCAATATATAGTTAACAAATTGGAAACCATGTAACAGATTAATCATTAATTAAGAATAAATAAGGTGAGAGAAGTAATAATATGGATAAACAATTACAAAGGGATTAACAAGATGAAAGGAACTTACTGTTGCCAATAAGATGAAACTTATTAATAAGGTCTGCAATAAATCCCTCATGTTGTAAAATATCACCCGCATCCCAACATATCTCCTTGGGATGTAAACCCGAAGAGTACGCAATCCTTCAATAACTTGTAAAACAATGCGCATGCGCCTCCGGGAGGGGATGTAACAGACGACACCCATGGTTAAAGACTGTCACGTGACAGGTGTCTATAATAGAAAGGGGTTTGGATGTAATGAGATATGTGTATATAGGGGATAATGTATAACTATATTTATAGATATATCATGTGGAGAATGTAAAGCGGTTTTAGATCAGGTGTAATATAATCTATATCCTGATCTACTACTTTACTTGTTTATAGACCCAATTCTTGGCTCAACCATTTTATATAATCCCGTTTTAACTTCTAGTATGACACGATGTGATGTCTGTCGTGTAAGGGGGGCCACGGTGGCGCAGTGACCTAGGTGCTGACACTGTAACTAAGAGGTCACGAGTTCGATCCTGTTATTGCTCGATACAGTACCACGGGATTTTCCGTCGTGGATTCCCCTTGTTATGGACATCGTCTAGTCGTTCGGATGGGACGAAAATCCGTGGTCCTATAGTTTCACACACACGCGTTAAACCACTACCCCCCCACCCCAACACACACACACACACACACACACACACAAACCCACACACCCATGTGGATTAAGAGGTGAGAAATTTGATATTCACACGAAAAATGTCAATGACTCATCGTTACTTTAATAAAAATAAATAGCATAAAATGTAGCACGTGGTGCCATCTATAATCTAGTGGTATATATTAAACACGTCATATTTTTCTATCAGATATGACGTGTTTAATATATACCACTAGATTATAGATGGCACCACGTGCTACATTTTATAAGTACAGAATCTTTATTCTTATACGCTTTTCCAACCGCGTGGGTTTTCTCCGAGTCCTCCGGTTGTACGTGACAAGGAGTAGGGTCGCCTGTCCAACCGCGTGGGTTTTCTTCGGGTCCTCCGGTGTCCTCCCACTGCCAAAGACTACTAATCGCAGTGGATTATTGAAAATAAATTGAGCCATTAGTTAGTCCCGAAATGACCTAGTTTGTGTCGAGTGGACGTCAAACCCCAATTCTCGGAATATATAAACTGTATATTTACCCTCGTGGTTTATGTGCAATGTTGCTACTGACAGCTAAATCTTCTTGTTAATGAGTTAGTGATCCATTCACTGAGTCAAGCATAGATAAACCAAACCCTGGCACCATCTGATAAAGAACCCTATTGATCTATCAGTATTTGATGCGCCAGTATCCCCAAGCCACTTGCGCTCAGATGAGGGATCAAAATCGCGACCGCAAGTCAGAGCTAGGTGACCGACCAGCTAGATCTGGAAGTGCGACACTCTAGACCTGTAGGCTACCCGACCCCCCGGGTAGTGAGCCACGCAAAAGACGAAAAAGTGAGGTTCCGTGTACACATTGGCGTGTACGTAAAAGATCCCTTGACAGTTGGTATTCTATATAATAGTAGGCCGTAGTGCCGCTGTCCGGGGCAAAATTTCCTTCATAGCAATGTGTGGAGTAAGCCCGTCTTCATTAGCCCGGTCGGAGCAGAACAGTAGGATGTTAAACCCCATTTTATTTGATTTCCCGGTCAGTGAGTCAGCGCCTTATTCACCGAGTCAACCATAGATAAACTAAAACCCTGGATCCTTTTGTGGGAGCCAGAGCTACCCATTCGTCAACTTGAACTAAATCTTAGCTTATTAAATTAAATTACCACATATTTAATTGCAAGTTAAACCGGATTATTTATAATGTAATATAACCACAGCAACCGTACCTAGAATCTGATGCCTTTTTCAATTATTCAAAATTTATCTTAATTTATAAAGACTGTATATGACTCATTCTTCTGGGTATACTGGTTTATATATAATACTATGTCCCTTAATTTATAAAGACTGTACGTGACTTATCCTGCTGGGTATACTGGTTTATATATAATATATGTCCCTTATTTGAGTCTCCATTACGATAAAAGGGATGACTACATATTCTCTAAGAAAACACGTATTTCAACCAGGATGTAAAGAAACAAAGGGTAATATATTCCATGTAGGCTGTAAAAGTGTTTTATACACACAAATTGTGACGCGTGAATCAGACATACCCGTTGAAAAGAAAGCTATTAGCGCCACCAAAATTAATATTTTGGAAATTAAATCGGGTTCAACGTCCTATTTTTATGTTATGATGGACATTTTGCCCTGGCAGCGGAATTACGGTCTACTCTTATATCGTATTCTGTCAAGGGGTCTGTTACGTGCACGCTAATGTATACACGTGATCTCGGTGTTTCGTACCTTCCGAGCGACTAGACAGTTTCCCTTGTCAGGTCATCTGTACTGCACCACTGAGGAAATACATGTATATCTGCCAACACCGAGAGCGAACCCAAGACCTCCAGGTTACTTACTGAGTCACCGCGTCTTCCATTATATTTTGTTGATACGATCTGTGTTATATAGGGTTGGGTTAGGGTTAGGATCGGTGTTATATAGCTTTAAAAACAAAATGTTCAATGATCTGATTACAATGACGTTAATCTAGTTTCGACTAAATGTAAACACGCATCTAATTATTGTCATAGATCAGATAAACTCTTCTTTATAAACGGGATACGTCGGTTAAACTCGCCTTTTAAACATGACAACTCGACAAAAAAAATAACATTATTTTACACATCTTCCCGCGAGTATTTCATTCTATAGAAATCTTTCTGTGATCGTCAACCACTGTATCATTAATCGTTTATTCAATGGTGGTAGAAATTGAATGATACTGACAATAGTTAAAGGTGATGGGGAGAAATAGAGAATCTCCTAAGAGTTGGGTTGGTTTTTTTTGATATTAATAATTATCAAGACAAGTCGATAAAGTAAAATAAACGAGGCTCTGCCTTTTTAATAAAAAAGAAAATACTTTTAATAAAAAATGAACTGTTCTTTTCAACTAAGGAGATATCGCAGTAGATTATAAAATTTATCATACAAGCAATATCTACTGTAGAATGTTTTATTGGGTGATAAAAGGGGTTTAACGTCCTCTCGGCATAGGCCATTTCGGAACTAACATATGCTTCAATTTTATTTCAACAATCGATTGCGCTTAAGGGTCTTTAGCAGTAAGGAGAACCCGGGGAGAAACCCACAAGCTTGGACAGGCGATCTTGCTCATTGTTGCGTACAAATGAAGAATGGAAACCACGCCACTTGACTCAGTGACATACCGTGTGATATACAGCGCACGCGTTAAACTAATCGACCTTCTACACTCCTGAAAACAGTTAAAAGATAAAGATAGGGTTAAGCTATCCTCCATCAGCTGCCCTTCTCTGGACTCCTTAGAAATGCATAGTCGAATAAAGAGTAAGACACGACAAAGTTTTGCGGTGTATATCTTTAATACAACATAAAATAGGCCTGTTACAAAATTAATTAAAATATGGAAATGAAATGGGGTTTAACGTCTTACTGTTCTGCTCCTATACTGGGCTAATGAAGACGAGGATACGCCATACAATGAGCTACGAGAGAACTTTTGCCCGAACAGCGGGGCTACGGTCTACTCATATATCGATTTCCAGCTGCCAAGGGATCTACTACATCCCCGCCAATGTGTACACGTGTCAGACGCTTCGTTCTGCACGCCGGAAAATCCTGATTAACTTTCTCAGCCAATGCAGGGATCGAACTCGCTACCTCCAGACTACCGAGTCAGTGTCTTACTCACTTAGCCACCGCGGCTCCCGAATATAATACAGTGATCTCGACCGTATACCATGATGACATTTTGAATGGACAGCTACGCTACGACCATTTTCTGATTCCAACTATTAAGGGTTCTGACCACAAACCATTCTGATTTTCTGTTCTTCGAGAATACCTGTCAAAATTGTCATTCCTATTCCTGTGAGAGAGCGGGCTATTAGTTGGAATCGATAATGGTCGTAGCGTAGCTGTCCATTCAAAATGTCCTCATCGTATACTGCATGGCATACGCCATGGTGGCTAAGTGAGTGTTGTGCTTTTTAAATTTTGAAATATTAAAGAAAACACCGTTTCATTGGCTTATCCCTCACATTATCCAGAACGCTGGTTATATAACAACTCTTCCAGATCCTGGTGTAGTAAAGACAAGTAAAACGAAATTTTAAACTATAAAAAAACGAAAGTAAATAGGATCTGTGTTTTAATCAGATTGGTGGCTATCCAACACCCAGAAAACGTGAAAATCGTATTGATATGGCGGTGTAACTTTAATACTCTAAAACGTATTATAATTTATAATGTCGCTAGGAATTAATATTATGGTATAATGGTGCACGTGAAATCACAAGGTGTGGCATTGAGTCAAGTGAACAGAAGTAGGGTCGCCTGTCCACCCATATGCACAAGCGAATTAATGAAAAAAAAATTGAACCATATGTTGGTCCCTAAATGACCTCATTTGTATCGAGTGGACGTTAACTCTCTCTCTCTCTCTCTCTCTCTTGTCAAAGGTAAAGGTGTAGCGGCTTTTCTGGAAAGAGTTGTCTCCCATTAATATAATACAACAATATATATATTTGTGACTGTCGTTTGTCTGTCTGTCTGTCTGTTCGGGGTTGGCGGCTACACTAGGTCTGCCCCGAGTCTGAAATTTGGGGTATAGGGGTAGCTCGGACCGGGGAGTAACATAGGCCAGGTTGCGTTAGTCTACCACTTCCGGTTTCGGAGTTACGACCCCCAAGCGAAGCCGGTCTGTTCGGGGTTGGCGGCTACACTAGGTCTGCCCCGAGTCTGAAATTTGGGGTATAGGGGTAGCTCGGACCGGGGAGTAACATAGGCCAGGTGGCGTTAGTCTACCACTTCCGGTTTCGGAGTTATAACCCCCGAGCGAAGTCTGTCTGTTCGGGGTTGGCGGCTATATCTACACCTTGAGTCTGAAATTTGGGGTATAGGGGTAGCTCGGACCGGGGAGTAACATAGGCCAGGTGGCGTTGGTCTACCACTTCCGGTTTCGGAGTTATGACCCCCGGGCGAAGCCGGTC